CACAGACAAGGACATCAAAGCAGCCAGGATCGGAAAAAGCAAGACAGGCCTTCATTAACCTGAAACCAGAGCTCTTCTGCACTCAGTATGTGGAACAACATCTGGATTTTCAACGCCAATTCAGTCAAGCCAGTGCTTCTATGTAATGGTCCAGAGATCTGGCGGTGCTTTACGAAAGGCATTTCCAACAAACTACATATATTCATCAACAACTGCCTACGCTGGCTCGTTACTGAAGATCAGGTGGATTGCTAGAAAGAATAAGCAACAAGGAACTCACTGTGGCTGACAACGAAGTAACCAAGATCCTATGGCTCAACAAATATGCAGTGGAAGGAAGTGGAGATGTATTGGGCATGCACTGAGAAGACCATTTGGGGACAATACGCACCAGACACTCGAGTGGAACCCAGATGAGATACAATGAGCTGGGCATCCAAGGCGAGGGTGAACACATGCAGGAGGTCATGTGAGGAAGGAATGAGAGCTTGTGGGCAGTGGTGAAGCCAGGTTGAGAAAACTGTAGAGAACAGGGTGGAATGGAGACGTGCTACTGAAGCCGTATGTTTGACTAGGAACCCAAGGGACAAATATTATTATTATTATTATTTTTGAAGTAAGCGATTTGTTGGGACTGATTCATCTGTTAGTACTTTTCATTACAAGCTGACATCGATTAGAGAGGCATTGAAAAGCTAAGAGTACTGCAGAATAGTTGCGTTCTAGTGTGAAACTCTTGAGCAATGTATCGTATGACTCTATGAGGGATTAAGCTGAAGATCATTATATCTTGCAGCAAGTACACTTTGCCACTGGGTTAAAATCCAATGGCCAACCATTTCTTAATTCCTTCGACTTATGATGTAGTGCGATAGAGGAGTAATTGTCCAGTGTTCGAAGGTTTACACTGATTCGTGAATGCATATCATTTCTTGATGGAAACTGCTTGCAAATTATTATTTTTATTTCAGATAAGGCAAGTAATACTGTGGTCTGTCATAGGTCACACTAAGCTAATATGTTTAGTATAACTATGCATGATATTTTTGTCCTAAAAATTCATTTCGCAATATATTCCTTTTTCGAGTAAAAAGATACTAAGTAATGTCTAGCGTGAATCGATGACTTTTTTAGTTACTTTAAAACTATTTAAAAACCATATTTTGGAGTATAAGAATAGTAAATTTATTTTATTTGGTTGTGGCTGGAAGGGAAATTCAGGACAAGCGTTTCGTTAAAGTAAACTACCATAATAAACATTCAGGTAAGATAGAGGCATCCGCATAGGAGCCCATATGTTAATAGAGGCCGGACAATTCAGTCAAGTATTACAAGGGAGAATTCTGCCACTTCTATATGCATTTATCAATTCAACTGCTCCTGTAGAGCGAGTTACATTGGGCGTACAATGGGGCAGTTCCATCATCGAATTTCTGAACACCACCCATCATGATTGAACAAGGAACAAATTAGAACTATAAAGAGCTCGATACTTGCACACTCAGTTGATACAGGCCATCAAGTGGTTACTGGAAAAGCCTTCAAAATTATCTATCAGATTCCAATTAATTTACCTCATGGATTATGCATTCGCGCTTACTTCACATAGCAGAGGCGATTACAATCCACCTTTACAAACCTAACCTTTGTATCCAAAAGAATTTTGTTCGAACACTTTCATTACCATGGCCGTCAACATGATGTAACTTCTAGGTTTATTCTGTGCACCTCTTCCCCTTCTTGTTTCTATCAATATTCATATTTCCTATTTTAATAACTCTATTGATTATTTACATGATTATTCGTAATTCGATTAAATTGTAAACCTATATATTAGTGTAGAGCCCAAGATGAAGACGGACCTAATTGAAAAAATATATATTTCTTCGGTCAATCAGTCTTTTTCTAAATATCTAAATGGGAATATTCAATGAATTACAAGTACATCAACCAATAGTTATAGTAAATTGAATTTTGTGGGAGTTATGGAGATTTGGAAATATTTCAAGTTGTTATTCCTCATAGACTGACATCAGTTAGAAGAAAAAAGGAAATCTAGGAGCACTGGACAGCTGTTTCGTCCTAGTACGGGACTCCTCAGCAGTGCGTAACCACCACCCAGCTCAACCCGGATCAAACCCGTGAACTTCAGGTTCCGCGGCCAGCACGTTACTATTGAGCTACTGGGTCAGAATCCAATGCTCCATATTTCCAGGTTTTCTTTGTTCCTCCAACTGATATCAGTCTACGACGAATAACGACTTGAGTTATAGTAAATGTATCTTTTAATGTAACAGAAAGAGTTAACAAAAAAATACTCAAAAATCATCAGTTCAAATAATTTTTGTTAAAATCTCATTGAAGTGTATATTTTATGTGAATTAATTCCTCATACATCCATTAAATAGATGATATGTCCGTTATTGATATGAGTTCGAATAAAATGTTCAAATACTGCACAGACTTTTACAGTAACAGAGGCGAATTAACTAGCGAACTAAATGGCATACGGTCCTTAGTCAGTGTTTATTTCCGCTACATTCAAACACTGATATATTATGCACCCACATATAAAGCTTGGTTGAAAGTTTCAGCTTCATACGAATTTGTTTAAATCCAAAGATCACTTCAAAATACTCAAGTTAAAAGGATGGTCTACAATGAATAAACATTTCAAGGAGATTATACTAACTTTTAGTTCATACCTGTATCAGTCTTGGTGTGTCCGAAATAAACTAATCTCTGTTCCACATTCACAGTACACACTGCTTATCATCTTCGAAAAATATTCAATATTTCTATTAGCCTTTACTTGTATATACCCTTCATTCTTATGTGCTTCTATCTCACAAAATATTATTCCCTTTCTACTGACTTTTTCCAAGCCTGCTGCTACAAAATGCTGTAGCTTGAATTGGTCCACTTCTGAGGGAGATACATTGTAGTTTGCCTATGTTTCTGGTTTGAAAAGTTTCTGTGAAATTATAGAAAAGCACATCAAGGTAATGTGGTAGGGAACATTGAGTATTACTATGCTTTTGAAGTCATCATTTGTTATTTAAACGGTGTAGGATTCAACTGTTACTCTTATGAAATCCAGAAGGTTTAAACTAAATTATTTAACTATTAACCCTGTCAGCTGATCAAGTTCTACCTTATTTACCACTAAACTAATGGTTCATTTCATGTAAAACAATACAAACCACCATGTAGAATAAACAAATAGCCCACTGGTAATGTTCTTAACTGCAGCACCCGACCACGTGGGTTCAAATCTCAAGTAGGGTATCAGTCCCAAAGAGGTTGTAGATATACCCTGTTGATGAGTACCAACAAACAAGAAATCTAGATCAAGAAGTACTTTCAGTAGATTGCTTCCACCGAAATAATATATAAATAATATGCCTACAATGAAATTATTCCCGAAGGAAATGTTTTTATCCATGTGCAACTGAACTACGGTGATGTAAAACCACTTAATAAGTGGTGACTTAGGTAGCTATCTTAGTTAAAACTTCGAGAATTTTGTCAAAAACATAAATGATTTGCATCATCTTCATAGATGCACACATAACTATGACATTAAACTTTTTATATAGATAAATAACTGAAATCACTACAGTGTTTCAATATTCAGCTTCTTGATATAATATGTCAGCCTAGTTAGAATGATTCTAGGCAGGTAATGAAGTATAAACAGTGCATTAAAGTTATTATCAACGGCATTGTAAAAATCACGCTGGTAAATTATCATTAAACACTAAGTGACTTTCAGCATAAGCCAATTACCGCAATAATTAATCTTGAAAACAATGAGAACTCTTGCTTTGTAAGGATTATACCATTTTTACTACATGATGTCCACTAGAAGCTTGTTAATTCTATCTTTTTTAATTTTATTTCAATGTAAGCAAAACATATGAATCAGTGAAATTAGAATAACTTACTTACTCAACTTAGCATCCATGCTATACAGGTGGTAGAATACTTCTTATGTAAAAGTGAACAGGTCACTATAAGATGTTTCATTTTTCGACCGAACAGTCAATATGAAATGCCACAGTAGTAAACAATACACTTTATTTTATTGCTCATACATTAAACTACCTATATCTTTAACTAGTTTATATAAGTCAGTTAATTATTAAAGACCGAAAGAAATTCAATACTTTCATTATATATTTGTTTAAAACTGAACATTCATTTTAATGCCTGACTTCAGAAGTTATTGTTTTGTTATCAAGCAACCGAATTAAATTTGAAATACAAAAAAACTGGTAATATTTTATAAAGCAAGTCATCCATCATCTTCAGTCATTCAATCCTATCTTTGATACTAAAGAGATAATCACTGTCACACAAATAGAAACTCTAGTAAAACTATCTTCTCGGACTGTTTAAAGTTTATTCGTCATCCATTTTATATTAGTCTGCTGTAAGAATTACCTCCAAATTAATCAATTTACCACAAAAATACAACAAACTTTCCTTGGCAATTTCAAGAGAACCATAATGTTTAAAACGCTTGTCAAAAAGAAAATAAGTAGCGTCTTAGCCATCATAACGAAAGCGGAATTGTTTTACAGAATTGAAAACATTTTTACCCAAAATCTATATTTATACCCTGAAATTATCTACCTTGTACATTTTAAGTTACTGCCTCAAAATGTTCAAACTTCTAGCTGTCTTGAATTTAAAATGCTTTTATGTATATTATCAACCGTTATATGAATAGTGTTAACCATCTTTATAAAAAGTACGAAATGAAAATAACAGCAAATGAATATTTTTTCTAAGTGTCACTTAAATATCACAAAGTTCCTATACAGTGAAGAGCACAGTCATCATGTTCATAACAATCATACTAACCTGAAAAGAACTACTTTTACGGAGGTTATTATCAATAAAAATCACAATATGGGTTATAGTGACTATAAAAACAAGTGTATACAAAGTATTTAGAAGATTTATCTTTTAACAAATAAGGTTAAGTAACTTACATTTACTTCTATTGGTTTAAAATTAGGAGCCACTTTATTTTCTTCCTCACTGGTTCCTCTAAAATTGGATTTTTTTGGAGAAGAGCTTTCAGTACAGATATTGGTAGGGTTTGGCATTGAAGTTGAACCGAATGATTTTTTCATGCGCTTTGTTTTAAAATAGCTTTTCTTCCTTATATTAACATTTGGTCTTGAAGGACAACTAATTACTGAGCTACATAACATGTTCTCTGCACTGTGTTTTGGGTTCTGAGGGACAAAACCGTTTCGTGAGTCAACATTAGTAACTGAATCGTGATCACCAGAGTTTGAAAATGTGAAATCCCCATCTCTCTCTACTGTTGGAATCCGGCTATGTTCCGGTTTACATACAAGGTCATATATATCTGGTTCGTCATGCACTGCATAATCGTATGAGTTTTCTTTATTTGACCTATCTGATCTATGAGCTCTTACTTCGTTTGCTTGTGAACTGACTGAAATAGACGCAATTGCTGGCTTATTGCGGTCTGAATTAGTTAAATCCACCGGGGACTGAAGACTGTTTTGTGTCTGACACGTAGGCATATACGTACATGGTGGTTGGTTGTTATGTGCAAACATGACTCCTGAAACTTGTTTTTGCCCATCAGGTAACTCCTGTGAACTGAGCGTTGAGTTACTAGTTTGAAGAATATCAGTAAGGACAGCAGACAAATTTACGGTAGAATATGAGCTTGAAGTGCATAATGGTTGAGATGAAAAACTGTGGATACTGTTATTTGGCCCACTCCAAACATCATTACGCGCTGGAGGGCTCATACTAACATTATTCATGTTTGGACAAGGAACTGGATCATATGAAAGACAATTCTGAATCATTCTAAAGTACAATTCCACAGACTGTTGTAAAGCATAAGCTCTATCTATCAAGGATTTGTAGCAAGCAGACATAGCTTCATAATTTGGAAATCCAGATTTTGGCACTGGTATGTTGGTTATACATGTGCTAATAGAATTCATAACGGCTTGTCTCCAGTCCAGATACGCACCATATTTCGAAAGGATATTCTTATAAATGCTGTCAAACTCTTTGGAATTAGAGCAGTAAGGCGCTTCGTTGTGAAATCCATTAATTGGACTATGTTCGCTCGACATAAAGGCCAGAGGGTTTGCGTTTTGGCTAAGTTGATTTGTTGAAAAAAAATGTGATAGATTGCTAGTGAATGTGGAGTTGAAAGTCTTTTCAAAACCATGGTTAACATCAGTGTTTGGTGCATATGTAGGAAATGACCCAACTTTACAGTCAGTATTGGACCTGCATTTTGAAAGAAAATAGTTAAGCATTGCGGTATAAAGTCGTATATGTTCCGGAGATGTGTTTATAAAGCCATCATTTGATGCATTAAGAGAGTGCTCAGTAGAACTCAAAGATGAAGGGTTATTTTCTTTTGAGACCAAGTTCATTGCTCCAAAAGAAGGATTCTTAAGCAGCATCTTAACATCATTTTCACAGGTTTCCTCTGGAGGTTCCCGCTTTTGAGGAGCAGCTGTTTTCCTTTTGCGTTTGTTGGATCCATAGTAATATTGTTCTTCAGAAATATCATACTTATTTTCCATATATGTTTCATTAAAATCATTAATCTGATGCATGGCATGTATCATAGTACCTCTCGGCATAATAAATACTCAGTTCATAAGCGTTTTTCAATCAACGAACAACACTTAATACTTATGGTTTGATCACTACAAACTGAATGTGTGCATTATATGCTACTGTGGTAAAGATACCGCGTGATTCACTAAAACAAAGTGACGGTTGACTGTCGAATGCTCTACACTCTTGACTTCGGTTCGAAATGAAACTAAAAAACAGCTGAAAACGCTTCTCATCGCTGATATTTTTCCTCCTTACACCATTATATCCGTTGTAGAATTGCTCACAAACTTCACAACCTTCGAAAGATAGCTCTTAGTAGCTTTCGAAAGCATGTTTATTTCTACTTCTGGATGAGATCACTGGGATAAAATCGCACCCCACTCTCTTAAACCCTCCATATTCAATTATCTTACTGGCACAAAGCGGAAAAGAATTAGTTTGCTGAATCGTTTAAATGAACTGGAAGGAAAACAGACGCTGGAGAACATGTATTTATTGAAATGAAAATGTAAACAAGTCTGCATTTGCTAGTACTGAAAAACTAATGAATAAGTAAAGGCCGTAAGACTAAGCGGAAATCCCGGAGCATGAAGTTTTGACGCATGTATTTTGTTAACGTGTACTCCTTTGGAATGACTGTCGAAGTGGACGTTAGCTATCATAGTCGCTACCTATATTCTGCTGCATACAGAATCAACTTTGTTTGAAGAGAAATCGGCTAAAGAAACATGTTGCTTTCATCTTCATCTAGGGAAGTTGAAGTTGGACCGAATTAGCAATCTGTAACTTCACTTTGATCAGGATAGACATTGTTTATATTCGCCAACTGTAACCTGCCAAGTCATATCAACTGCATAAACTTAGATGGCTGAACGCCTGTCTCTGTGGAAACTATGGAAGAAGCATGTTCAGCACAACTCACTTTTCGGTCTTTCTCCACCAACAAGCCACAGGATCTAAATGAACAACGTCGCAACTCTGCCTCAAGGGTTGTAAAAGCAAGAAAGGCCAGTCTAAAAACAAATGTTCTACAATGACATACGAAGATCCCTATCAAAGCTGCAAGAAGAAAGTAGCTCTGAATACCCACTCAGCGGCGGCATTTCAACGATTATGGACAATAGAACAGACAGAACGGATCCTGCTCACCCCTCGAAAGGGCCAGCAGGCGTGGCCAGAGTCATGAAGAATCAGTCATAAAAAAGATCGGAAACTGCAGTGAAAAAAGGAACTGGCTTTGGTAGATAAGACAAGGGTGCCTCATCAGTGTGTAGCACCACTCGCTTCCCAAGAATCCCTAGCCCAGGGTTCGGTGAGACTCAACATGTATGCTGACGTTCATAGTTTAACTGGACTATCTAAGCTGAAGGCACCCGGTCAAGCATCCTCGCCATTCGGCACGCCGCCGCGTTATGTTGCACCGCACGTATCGACCCTCTAACCAGTTAGTTGAAATCCATCGGTATTTTGGGCACGATCCCGCAAATATGGCAATCCATCCGAATACGCTATTTTGTTCTTTCTTGATCCCGTATTCATGGGCATATAGCAAATTCAAATAATTAGTAATCGTCCTCTGCGTCCGTCAAGTTCGCACCAGGACAGTTCCTTAATCGGCAGGCTTGACGTGATGACAAACTCCGACCAAAAACAAATCTTAAACCGGTGGGTCCGTCCCATTTTTTTTACTTGTATATTGTTTTCATTTTGGTAACCTTTATATATCCATCTACAACTCCTTCCCATGTCCGACTATACTCCGCAGCTCATCCGCATTAAGCCGAAGACGGACACTATCCAACTCTTGCCATACTGGCCGGGCAATGCAGAAACATGATTTCGTGGTGACGAGGCAAATTTTCGAGAACAAGGAGTCTTAAATCCTCAGTCTCGGCTAATAAGGGTCATAGCGGCCGACACTACAACAGGAGCGAAATCCATATGCCTTTAGAGCGTCTAAGCATACGAAGAAAACCGCCGACAGCCGGGGTTTGATGTCCTACTTAGCCCGGAAATGTGGGGGGATAGAGAAACTTTGCTTCTTCAACTGTGGCAGGGAGATTAATATGCTGGAATAGTAGTATAAAACACCGTCGTTACCTCAATCCAAACTCTTTGCGGAATTCCAGCGACAAAAAGACCATGCAAAATTCCAGTTAGGGTTACCGATTTACCACTGTTTGCTGCAGGTTGTCAGTCTAGTTTTCTTCTCCAGCACAGCGGAGTCAAGTTTGTCAGGGCTGAAGTTAACCCTGCGCACAGTCATGCGATTTTGAACTTATTGGGGGCGATTCGTATTTCCGAAGGCTAAAGAGCAAAGAGATGAGAAATTGGTGTCCTTTGATTTGACGCTCAACTGATGTGGCATAGACAATCGAGCGTTTGAAAGGCTGTTGCTAGCTGTGATATTTACAATCTAAGAGGCCTAATGATTCCGGCTAAGTTGTAGCTGATAATGTAGTGTGGGCCCACAGTCAGTATCAGTTAACCTCACAGAGCTGATGGCGTCAGGAGAATCGCGGGACTTCAGCGATCCGCACTCTGGGCAGATGGATCACATTTTGTTCTCTTTGCATTCGCCAGTGTTGCTGCATCACCGGTGTCGTGAGGTTATCAGTGTCGAATCCACCCACAATATGAACCGAGAATGGTAGGTTTATTTCACAGACAAGTATTTATTTTGCAGACACTGTCTGTTTCAGTTGCTGGTGACCGACAAGTTCGGGCCTGGCCGGCCTGTTTTGTTCGCATGGACAAGACGTGCCAGGGTGAAAGATAATGCATGGGTGATGGAACATCTCAGGAGGACATTGTGAGACACTTCCACTACAGAAATCTTCGTAATGGACCGTGCTAAGTGGAAACATCAGCCGTGTACACAACGCTCACCGCCACCTGGATTGTTTTTCATGTATTTCATTCAAGTAAAGCATTCGAAAAGGTTTTGATGCAATGCTGTACCACATCACCAAATCTTAGGCCTGTGGTCCTATCTCGAAGGCGTACCTTAATCGAAATCTGAAGGCAGGCTGTATCGAAAGGGCATATCTCCCCTTATAATAATCCTTCAGATTTGATCAATAGGCCCAGTGAACCGTTATGTGGATCGCAATATTGTAGCGTACCTACGCCAAAACTAGCTACAGAAGAAAGTAATGTGAGCATCGTCATAACTATCTGAAGCACTTACTCCATGTATTAACATGAACAATCACGTTGACAGTTTGCATGGGGAACTGGATCGGAGGATAAATATGCGGGAGCGGAGATCGAGAAATGTGGTCATCGGAGTGGAAGTGGTTAACATTGTGAAGAATGCTTTGCAGTTTTTGAGAAGCTTGCAAAATTCCATTTAACTGTGTGCTTTTCAGTATATCTGTCGTTGAAGAGGGTAATCCTGATAACTTCTAAGTAAATACGTTGTTTACACACCATGGTGTTCTCTCATAATTGCTTATGTTTATCTACCGAGTAACCGTGTTGACGGAGTCGTACGCGTACCTAACTAGTAATATGTGAGCCCAGTAACTGTTCATGGTAAACAGAGAGTGATATCAGTTTGAGCTAGATGGTTGCCGTCGAAATCTCACCTGTTAAAAGCACATATGAACAGGTTACGGGGGCCAACAACGAACGCCTTGCAGCATTGCTTGCATACACTGGGCTGGCTGTTATATCGGTGCTTAGTACTAGTGGAAGTTGGATTGTTTTGGAAGAAGACTCAAGGTGTGGCACATATATATGGAGTTCATGACTGTTGGTGTTAACCACGTGAGGAGGCGAGAGCCGTCTGGGTGCGGTCTCCGTGGGGGTGGCGATCGGAGGCTCCTAACATGATTCCTAGTACGACATGCCTTCCCCAGTTCAATATTGTTCTCGGCCGTTTTTGCGTGCCACCATGAAGTGTGGCGACTTGACCAAGTAGACTCGTGTGCTAAGTTTCATGTTAATTTCATCTATATGCCTCTTGAATGGAAGTTCGCGGTGAAATATGATAAGAAAGCAATAAATGAGGTGATGGGAACATTCATTTGATGGTAAGTCCTTCGTCTTTTCAGCCAAATAACATCAATATTTCCGTATATAATTTCAGGAGTTTATTAAAATCGCTAGAATGACTGTATATTGGATTATAATATGTAGTTCAACCTTCCATCGCATCAGCCTTGGCGTTTCTTCATCTTCGTTAGAAAGGGAATGCACTCAGTACGCCTTCTCACGGAACTCCAGATACGGCCTCTGCATCCCCAAAAAATAAGAAGACAAACTTACAGTAAGTTCAGCGTACAATTTGTGGGACAAAAAATCTCCAAGAAAGGGAGCCGAAACTAGATTTCCCGCCTCATATCACCGAAGCCAGACCTCTAGGTATTGGGCTACATGGATTCCTCTTATACAAAGCCGATGGTCTGACATGTGCATTTCATATATTGACATTTCGATTAACTTAGTGCCGCCAATGGCACACCTCGTAAGGATCTATGTATACACGGGACAACCAATCCCCATGATAAATATGGACAGTAATGAGATGACGGATTATCTGAAACATGCGATGTAGTAGCGCTATAAATTTTGAACAATCTGATCTTACACGAACCTGTCGAATAACTTATTTAAAAATGAGAAAGTTTGTTCAAGCCAGCAGAAGCATAATTAAGAGGATAAAGCCACGCCTGATTCCACAACTCAGAGACTAGATGGGGGTCGGGACCCAATGCGCTGAAGCCAACCTTCATCAAGCCGTTCACTTCGTGATTGGGCTGCACACAATTTCCCTAGCCATGTAAAGCTGTGTGAGCCAAGTCAGCGCCAAAAACGGTCAGAAGAATGGACCTGGCAAACCGAAACCGATTGAGTGCAACCCCAGAAAGTTGCAGAATTCCCGAGGCTCACATATACAGCAATCTATCTAGTCTGTTAAAAAGGCGATTCGCTGCATTCCTTAGCAGAAATTAGTTCCTGTATGACTAACCTGTAGCGCTCGCCAGATGCGCGACTGAAATGGACAGTCAAAATCAGGCACATCCATTCAACCTGTATATTAGGGGGTTTTCAGTTAGGTAAATCGAAAAGCCCTGCTTTTGAACGCGAATG